AAAAATGAAACCAATTTATTTTTGTTTCAAGAGAAAAATCAATTATTAATTTAAAATTCAACAGGGAAGGTAAATTACTAAAATATTTTTAAACCCTCTTTAAAACATGCACCACAAAAATAGAGATAATTCAGTTGTCAAATAAAAAAAAGAATATTTACGAAAACATTTATTTTGCAATCCAAGCTCGTCACCCAGGATAAAATTGATAACACTTCCTTCACCTATTATTCACTCTCAGAAAAATCGCTTCAATGTTAAACTATAATGCCAGTATTTTGAACCATGGTGTAGTTCAAATTTCCTCAAATTTTTATGCGGTAATAAATTAAACTCTACACTGTGAAAATTGTATACTCAAATATCAGGAAACTCTTTTAGTTTTTGACGAAACCGTTTCTTGGTATACGCCCGAGGGAATTTTTCGTCAAATGGACGAAATAACTATCTTCACTTTTTCGAGGTAACAAATTTCGTGAAAATTAAAGAGATATTTGGTCATTTTATTTTTTACCGAAAATAAAAATAAAAAATAAAAATAAACTTGTGGTGCTAAAGTATCTAACTTTTCTAACTGTCATTTTATCATGGGCACTATATAGGCCCACCAGTGTCGCCGTAATATCATAAGAAAGACATATGGAACCGACAGGTAAATTGCAAATATGCCAGAAGTGAGATTCGAGCCAGGGATCTTCTGGGAAAGAGACCAACTCCTTGACCATCATAGAGGTTGTTTGGCTTTTCTCTTTACTTTATTTTTGATTATCTAGTTTTCATTCCAGTTTCGTAATCTTAGTTAATGATCTCCAATGGTGCATTTCATCATATATTTAGAATTCGCGCTTTGTCACAAATCATATGATTTCGTGACGAAATTATTGTCAAAATTAACGGCTCAAGGATTGCTGAATCGTCAAAAGTGAGAGCTTTATTCCTGAGAGTGATATCTCCGCTCAAGTTGATTCATAGTTTGGAATAAGCAAAAGTAAAAAGTGTGATAAATATGGGGACCATCTTTAGCCCTCAAAACTGCTAGCACCCGCCGTGACATTGATTCCACAAGGTGCTGTTAGGTAGTCTGAGGTATATGGTACCAAGCCCTTACCAACTGGTCCTGCAATTACCTCACATTGAGAGGGGGTAGCGTGGCAGCACGAATTTGATTTTCCACGTAGGACCACAAATACTCTATTGGATTAAGGTCAGGTGAATTTGGGGGCCAAGACATGACTTGAAAGTCACTAGAATGTTCCTCGACGATTCGGCCCTTATGACATGGTGCATTATCCTGTTGGTAAACACCATCCCCCACAGGAAAAACTGTTGCCATGAATGGGTGAACCTGGTCTGCAACTATGTTCAAGTAGCTTACAGACGTCAGGGATTGTTCTATGAGGATTATGGGTCCTAATGTGCCCCATGAAAACATTGTTCCTGGGCGAGAAACCATGAAAACCTGGGCGAGCCCATTGTTATAGATGGAGGGTGGTCATAATGTAATGGCTCTTCGNATCCCTAAAATTCCCCGGATTCTACTGGATTTTTTCCTATCCATAACGGTGACGTGAATGTCACCGTTGAGGTCGAAAGTAGATAGTGGTCACATTAATGTGACTGGACTGTGTATATATATATATGTGTGTGTGTGTATATATATATATATATATATATATATATATATATATATATATATATACGCTATTTCTCGAAAAAGACAAGCTCTTTCACCAGCTATCTAGTCAACAATTTAAATTTTCTATTGCCATTTCACAAAGGATCGAAAAGAAATCCAACTAATTAGTGCAGCTAATTAGTTGGATTTCTAATTCCCTAACCAACTAATTATTAGAAAGTAACTAAGTTTTTATTTCTATAAAAATACAGAAGAGATTTTAAGTAAATATTTAATGTTTAGCAAACTACTCAACATTACTTATTATTACTTATGACAACCTAAATAACGAATCTGTATAAATACTTAAATTATAACTGATTACTTAAGACAAACTAACAAAACGAAGAAGTATAGTTTTGCCAATAGATAGAGAAATATCAGAGTTTATAATGCCACACAAGAGAATATATAGATTATGAATCATTGCAGCATGAAAACTTAAACATTGCATTAAAAACTAAATCGAAAATTGTTTTTTAAAAAAAGGAAGAAGGAAGGTAAGGAAAAACGTTCTATACATCGACAAAAATTTTATCAGTAGAATTTTAATCAATTGCTAGAATATGGAATTAAGTCAAATTGCGTTATTTTTTAAGGACTGTAAATGCAAAGAATGAGATTCAAGTCTTTCTATTGGTTGAATCCTGAGCAACAGACAAACATAAAGGTAGGAGGGAGTGAAATGCATAAGCTTATGATTTATTAGAGATGATTTACATTAGTGTTTGCTCATATTCTTTCTCCCCAACCGAGGGTGCATAATATTTATATTTAATGCAATGCGTAAGTTCAATATGCTAAGCAAAGTCATGGCAATTACATATGTAGAATATGCGTGAACTCAATTACTCGTTTATTTCGAGAAAAAGAAAAAATGTACTACTCAAAGAATATCGATTTCAAAAAGTATAAAATTACTTTTAAAAAACATTTATGTAGAAATACATTGCATCAATCAATATTAACGTTGAATTTCTGCATTTTTTACACAAAATTGCTATCTGATGTATAGTGGTTCCATTTAAATTTACAGCACAACAATGCAAATTTTTAAGAACACTCTGAAATTGCAGTATTCCGTCCGACTATAATTATTTAAATGGCCATATATTTAAGGAACTTGCTGTAATGTAATAAGTCATATCTTTTCTAAAAGAGAAATTTTATTTTCAAACAATTTTTGTATTTTTTCCCGATAGATACGTTAAAAATTTCGAGAGTTTTAACCAACTGGCAACACAAAAATTAGAGCATTTTATTGCTTTCAGGGAAATCACGACGTTTTTTGTTAATGCTTTTCTGAATAATTTTAAAATGTGGCATATCATTATATTGACAGAAACACTTCAAGTAATTACTTTAGATGAATTTAATAAATATAAATAAATTCAGTAATATATCAAATGTGTTTAATTTAAAAAAAAACATTATCTTGAACAGCAGAAATAAAAAATAAATTGAGAAGCTAAGACTAAGGTAAAAATAATTAATTGGTGTGATTGTGAGATGAAATAAAAAAAGTAACTTCAATGCTAGTAATAATTGCAAACAAATTTAATGAAATTTTTTAGTCTATCTATTTTAAGGAGTATTTTTATTAAGTTAAACAACCTATATATTTAGATATTTTTATAATAATTCAATTTTTTGATTATGTATATACATATGTGACAATTAACGTTGAAAGATAAGAGAAAATTTCAAAGAAAACTTAAGAATATAAAATTATTTGCGAGTACATAAAACCTATAAAGAAAGAAAAGTAGAAAGAAAACAGAGAAGAAAAATAAAAAGGGAAAAAAATAAATAAAAGAAACGAAACAACATATTAAAATTTCCAAAATGTAAGAAAAAATAAGGCAATAACCGCAAAAATAGTGTTTTCTAATATTCTACTAATATAATAAAAGCAAAATATATCAATATAATGTAGTGTGAGAAGGTGCAAAGGGAGAAAAAAGGAAGAAACCGATTCAGAAAGAAATTTTATCAAGTAAAAATTGGAAAAATTAAAGAAAATCATAATAAAAAGAAAAAACAGAAATTCTTACATAGTAACGAATAAAGGCAGAATGGGAAATGGGAGAAGGGCAGAATGGGAAAAGCTACTGAGGAAGGCCCAGGCCCACAAAGGGCTGTCATGCCAATGCTGCTGATGATGATGATGACGAACGAATAAAGCCAGAAGGGATAACGGATGTCATCTACTTATGAAAAACTTTCAAAAATAATCTAGAAAAATTTTCATAAAGTTGCCAGAGTGCACAATATGAAATTAAGACATAAATAGAAAGTAGTGGGATATATTTTTTTAAATGGTTCTATACTGAAATTGAAAACCGCATTCGATTTGTAAGTTTGATTTAAAAAAAATTCCGCCATGGATTTTTTCGAATTGGATTTGCACATGGCTAAGATATCAATCTAGGTTACTAAAAGATTTGTGTATAAGCATATTCTTTTATTAATTTTTTAATACAGAATTAAATCAATGATTTTAAATAGAATTTAATTACATTTGTTGCATACACGTTGTTTTTAATCAAATTTGGCAAAACGTGTCTATTAGCTTTTTGGGCAATTAAATAATACTACATATTCTCCTAATTTTATATATTTGATTAAAAATTGTTTAAAATTTAATGTTTTCAGAGACATATGAATTCCATGTAATTAGTTTATTTATAAAAAACCTAAAATCATTCTTTTTACAGCATTTGTCAATAATGCATATATTTTATTTCCTTTTTAATACGTCAATAGAAAAAAGTTAAAATGAACATTATCGTCATGATTACGAAACAATAGTAATTTAGTAATTCCTCGGAAGAGATATTATCTATTATCTAACAAAATTAGATTATTTGGAAACTTAAAGATAATTAAATTACCAATAAGTCTAAGAATAAAAATGATACTTAGAATATAAATAGTGCAAAATAAGTTAGAGAGAAGCATCGAAAAATACAATAGTACATACCTTTGAATGAAAGAATCAACAATTTTTATTATATTCTTATTATTTATAATTTTTTGGTATGATTCATAATATATACATCTGTTCTTATTTTTGTCGGCAGATTTTCCCCGTGTTTATAGGGAGAATAAAGTTCTTTTAAATAATTTTTTAAAAAATTTCTAAATATTTTCTAATTACTAATTCATTTTATATATATATATNTCGATATATATAAAATAATCACATTCATAATAGTTTTCGCTCATTTTTTTTTAAATGCTACGCGAGTATAAACGTATTAGCTTTATCATAAAAATTCCCAAAAGGATTGAAAAAAATATTTGAATAACGAAAAATCTATACCTCTTGATTGTAGAATGCATCCTAGGCAAATCCAAGCCAAAAACAACATCATTTCTTTATTTTAGTTCATTTCCTCCAATGTTCTCCAGCATCTTTTAAGCGTCATCTTTAATCCCAACACAAACAGTAAAAGTAAACATAACTGCCTGATTCACAGCCGCTGACCAACAAGAAAAATTTAAATTTCTTTTACAACACATATGTTCCACTTATAATGAACTACTATTTTACTAACTTTTAATAAGTTCTAACTTCTAAATATCACATAAATCACAACAATAAGATGAATTCACAACAAACAAGTGCTTCTGTAACGCTGCTCATGGCTTACTTAAGTATGTATCATGACTTGTCTTTAATGAATTTCAGAAAAATCGCATTTAGAATGTGTTTTTAAATTTTTTTTATCAATATTTGTATGTAAGCAGTAATAAAGAATCTCAATCACACCATTTCTCTTTTAATTCCATATTGTTTCTTCTTTAATTTTAAAATATATCCGGCTTTCTTAATCTAACATCTTAAGAAAGATAAAAGAAATTTATTTCTAGTACCAACTTTGATCTATGAACCATAGCAATCACTGGGCCAATGAATTGTTTACAGTTAAATTTAGTATCATCGTTTCGTCTATCGACAGCGTCCAATGACAGCCAATCTTTCCTGCCAAAGATGTGTACATTCCCTGTAGTTTCGTCTACCCATCCAGGAGCATTTTCCTTCTTTGCTGGAGATCTATTGTAACCTCAATTAGGGTTGCCATTCAAGATCTCTTCACGAATCATCGCCAAGAATTGGCGACCTATAAACATTGGCGAATAAATTCACCTTTTTTTCCTCGATCTGCACCCCACCCTATCTTTGAAATTCCAATCTTCTCAGAAATGGGGAGAATGGCTATACATACACCTTACAGAGTGTACTGGTGCGAATAAAAATTAATGATTCGAAAAAACAGAAAAGCTTTAGAAAATTCGTTGCTCGTGGTTTTGAATTTAAGCTGCCGAAAGTGGATGGTGGGGGTGGTTGAAGGAACAATTATTTAACTTGTTTCTTCATCGAAACAAGGATTTAATAAGATATAAAATTAAGCAGTTCTACTTTAATCGATACGGAGAAGAGATGGGGATCCCTGAAAGAGACTTAGGACAGGGGTGTGACATGTTACATGAATATTAATTAAGAAATCGGTTATCTACGATGCATATGAAATAAGTAAATTTTAAATGTAGAGTAATTATTTCCTCGTCGAATTCTTGGAGACAGGAAATTATAAAATGCCATCAATCTCAAAGTGACATTGTCTTTACTTTCATAATCTAATGCATCCTTTCGTATATTTTACCATCATGAAAAATGATGAATTATAACATTAATTTTAAATAAAGATTCGTTTGAGAACGTTCGGGAAACATGCCATGAACATCCTACAGAAGTATTATAACGAGGTCTTTGATTATTTAAATATAAATTTAATCTATCAAGTCTGTTTGACAAAAGCTTAATTGATTACAGTAAAGAGGAAGTTTTCTAAGATTGAAAGTTAATCGGAAAATCTGTGACAGCTGGCCTCTTTGAATTTTGATTTTTTTTTCCTGTAAACTGTTTACTGTTTATTTTTTAATGTGCTTTTAATTAGCTATTTCTTTTTAAATTTTGCTAAAATACAGAACTAGTTGCATGAAAAGATTTTTGAAAGAATTTGTGAATAACTCTTCTTTTTTAACTTACATTTTTAATATTTTTAATATCCTTTTTGAAATATATATAAAAAAAATCGGATTTATAAATTTAATTGATTTGCTATTACTATCCAAACTTCAATTTGTAATTAATTTCATACTAATACAACTCATATTTAGTAAATTTTTAGATTTTGAAACGAAATGTTTCATCGCATATCTTAAAATTAATTGCCAAAATAAAATTTTCCAAATGTCATGTGGACAAACTTATTAAAATCCATTTCGATAATTTATTTATCCATTTTTATAATTATTAATATGAAATTGTCTTAATCTTCCATATGGAATTTTCTTTTTTAAAACCTTCATATATTTATTGAAATTGTAAAACTTATTACAATACCGATCAAACCAGGAAAATGTAATTTTTTTTATTACCAACTTATTCAAACTTGAGTTTAATGCATTTTATGAATTAAATTAAATAAATGTAACTTTTTTTTATTTATACGGAGAAAAAATTCATGTATAATAAGCACATTAATAGATTAATAAAAAAGAACAATTTATGGTTAATAAAACTAAATTTTACACTATTTAAATCATTCATTCGTTAATTTTTCCGTTCATATGGTTTAATGGGAATTCTGGTTTTTACAATTATGGTTCTTATTACCACATATTTAGTAAAAAATACAAAACTGAAAAGTAACTTGAATCGAATAAAGGACTTTGATGCCATGCTCTAAGGTATCATGATAAAGTTACCAAGCTTTACCACATTTACCAAGTTTAATCACTCATAAAACCATATTTTAGTGTTAATTTTACCGAAATCATAATAGTGCTATTCTGTACTAATTATCAAGAGTTTCGATTTTTTCATTGAGCCAGAAACTCAGTAAATTTTACCATATTCTGATAGTTTTGACCATATTTTTTTTCAAGGTACTTGGCAGGTTTTGACATTCAACCTCATATCATACATTATGAACTCACTACAGTACCTATACTTCTCGAACTTAAATACCTATACTTTGAGACAGGAAGAAAGTTAAATAAACAATATTACGAAATCAGTAAACAATATATAAACAACTATTCAACAACACTACGAAATAGGGCACAAAACTGAATACCGTATAAAATTAAACACAATAAAAAAAAAAGTCGGAAATGAAAATTCATTTTATTTATATTTATTATCTATTACGCTTCCTGTTTTCTTTAGGTTATTAAATTAATCGAAACAGGTATTAAGAGGTTCATCCAATCGAAATGAGGATGAAGTGTATTTAGTAACATTTGACATGCTGCTATGGCTCGCGGATTACTCGTGATTATCAAAATTTACCTCAACCAAGTAATTTATTATGTATCTTTCGGGGGCTATTATCACAGTTCCGAAATTAAATATTTGTATGTTTAATATCTATTAAAACAAAACCTATCGTCACAATAACAGTAGGACTATTTACTAAAATTAATCGCAATGTTTCTCTGCCTTGTTGGAAACTCCACAGAAAAAAAAGAGTTTAATAGCAGTTTATTTAATTGTTATTTTATCATATTCAACTAAAATAGCCAAACAACTACAAAAAAATGATATTCATGCCGTTATCTTAGAGAAAAATCATTGACTCTTTTCATCTAATACGGTTAAACGACCAGAATTTTTTCCGCGACAACTAGACTCGCAACAAATGAGAATGAGGAAAACGTTCTTTGAAAACTTGAAGTTAAGCCATTTGATAATGATTGCGAGCTCATTTTTTTTATTTTCTTTCATCGGATGCGCATTAGTTTTATAAGTGTGTGGTGAACACTTTATAAAACCGCTTAGTTCCTTGCAACTGGGTCGATAGGGCAAATCTGTCAATCTCATGACCAGCTAAACGGGGTTTCAAACCCCAGCATTGAAACCACAATATTTCCTCAATCCCTCCAACTCATGAAAAATTTTCAGTGTTTTACACTCCTCAATTAGTGGCCCCGGAAAAATCGTCATTACGAAATACGACACTCTCATTTCCACAATGATGGCAGTACCTCTTAACACGAAAAAAAATTCAAATTAATTTTCCCACGGTACACTACTAGATAAAATAATTAAGCCACATTCCAAGGTTCACTTAAATAAATACAGCTCAACTCCAACCTAACTCCAATGTTACCTCATACTTATAACGCTATGCTATGCTTTATGTATTTTACCTCCTTTAATTCAAAAATCGTTTACTTTATATTGATAGAAATATCTTTCAAAAGCCTAAATTTATGGAAATTAAAAGCTGAATTTCAGAATACTTAAGAAATACTAATTCGTCGACATCACGCCATTGACGTTTATCATTTATTTTCCCTAAACTAACGAATAGAATTAATTAAATATCAAAAAACCTGCAATAAGTACTTTCTTTTATTGAATTGAGCTGAAAGTAAACAAATCTCACGAGAAGTAGCTTTCAAATATTTGAAATAAAATAAAAAACAATTATTTTACTGTTTGATTTATATCAATGGCTAATTCTAAACCAATGAGAAAATTTAATTTTCAAACATCTCTCCCGAATCATCTAATTGAAATTTTTGTGCAATTTTTAGGATGATCCTTAAACATACCATAACTGTCCAAATTTTGTGATGCCAGCTCAAACTCTAATTAAAATAAACTTTAACCGAATCGTAGTTTTATTCCACTAAAATTACCGTTTTTTTCTAAATTTTTCTTTTTAAAACATTTACACTTTTTAAAGCATTTCATTAGGTAACATTCTGTAATATGTTACCATAATTATAAATTGGAATAAAATAAGTGTTTTGCTGAAAGAAATATTTTTCGTCAAAAAGAATGTAAAATTTGTTTCCGATGTACAAAAACCGTAACACTGATTTCACATGTGTCTCACCACAACCTCCAACGGATTTTTCTAATGATTAACTTATTTACAGTCTGATACTAAGCCTTTTTCTTTTCAATCTTCAATTAAAAACAAAACTATTTATCTAAGAAATGTTCTTTTGATCTACAAGCATTAGAAATAGTTTGTAATCGAAGGATTTAGCAGAGTAAACATTTTTAAATAAACAACCAATGTAACAAATCAAGCCATTGTACCTTTTAGAAAAAGGAATAATTCTACTTTTTCCTTTTAGAAGAAGTACTAAAAAGTAGATCAGAAATCCGAAATCGCCAAAAAAAAAACAGAAACAAAATCTGGCAACAAGAAAGAATGTGGTACTTTCTGTCTCGCTATCTTTCTTTCCAAACGATTTTACCGACGAACAATTTCGAGAGCTGAGATTGTTCTTTAAGCATTCTGATTAGTGTGTTGGCCAGTTCTAGAAAAGTAACCACCTGAAGCCATTTATTTATTACCCACTTCGGTCACAAATCTTACGATCGTACTCAAATGTCAAATGGAAAGTTGTGTTGAAGACTTTCAGATTCCATTGTTTTTCGTTTTTGTTTAGATATAACCATAAAGCCTTTAAGCTTGTTTTTTATATATATTTTTTTAAATAATAATTTCAATTCAATAAAAAATTATTATGAAAAGAAATATACAGGTGTATTATAGCTATTATTTTATATGTTTATATTTTCCCTCAGTGAGGAAAAAAATATGGTAAAAACTACCAGAATTAGTAAAATTTATCGTGTTTCTGACTGTATGGGAACACCAAAAAGTACAATAATTTTTACCGAAGTTCTTTGGTAATGATTTTGGTAAAATTAGCAATAAATTATTGTTTTGTAATATGCTCTTAAATTTAGTAAATATGATAAAATTCTGTCATTGAGCCGTGGTGCTTAGGGGATAGAGCACTCGCCTCCCAATAAGGTGAAGGTTCGAATCCTAACGATGGCTAGTCGATACGAATTCTGTACTCAGCTCGCACTGACCACAGGGCTGACGAAAAATATCCTCATGAGGCTAACCGTGGGAGGTTTACGAGGTTTTCCTCTCCATGTAACGCAAATGTGGGTTAGTTCCATCAAAAAGTCCTCTACGCAAGCAAACTTTTTCCCAATACTTCATCCTTGTCTCCCAAAAATGGGTTCAAAATTACAAGGCTAGAGATTTGATAACTGATAGTCGTAAACTCAAAATTAAGTCGGCAGATCAACAATGGTTACAATTTT